TGCAGTATAAGTTGTGAGCCAGACCCCATTATGATGAACCAACCTGCTTCTTTAGCCATGTCGGGGTAATCAAAATTTTCACGAGACCCAGGCTTTTCAAACTGTTAGAAAGAAAAGCATTTTTTTAATTTAAAAAAAGCAAGTCTATTTTCTTCACATTCGTACTCATATAACTTCTAATCACACAAATTCTGCAGAGAGTGAAAGGACAAGGAAGTGCACACTATACATGCACATGGTAACTGCCTTTTCAGATCTTATTATGTTTTAATATAGCCACTTGCTATTACACAAATTCAGCAATATATAGTGGGGCAAACAAATTTTATGTTAAAAATTCCTGAAGTTTTGCTAAAGAAAAAAATCGTGGTACTAGAAGGAAGACAGGAACTCTCTGTCAAGCATTTTTGTTTATCTTTTGATGCACTAGTTAGTAATGCCATTAAAATACCTGGCACTTTACAACGTAACAAGAATGCAGGTCTGTGCCATAGGTAGCTAACAGTCCCAAAGGTCCTTCCTCAGCCATTGCATAAGCTATCAACTTATCTTCCAAGAGGTTGTGACATTCCTTATTTTTTACATGCTAGCCTGACATATGCCAGACCAATAGGTAAGATTTAGAATGACGAATCATATGAAGGCTTAGAGCAAAGGAGAGAGGTCTGGAGCTAAATATTATGCCTGTGAACAGAAACTTCAACTGTTCATGCAGAAGGGGCCCTTCAGATCCAGTCTCTAGTCCAGGCTACTTCAACCTTGGCCCTCCAGATGTTTTGAGACTACAATTCCCATCATCCCTGACCACTGGTCCTGCTAGCGAGGGATCATGGGAGTTGTAGGCCAAAAACATCTGGAGGGTCGAGGTTGAGGAAGCCTGCTCTAGTCTCTTCCATATTAATCTTCTAATAAAATCTTTCTGAAGTGGTTTTATTTATGTATTGTTGCAGTTACAGTAATTCTATCACTTTTTTCCACTTTGCATCAAGGCAGCTACAGTAACAAATTCACACAAATAATATATAACCACCAACCCGCATGCATATACACCTACACCAAACACTCCATGGAAATAGCATTGAAAACAATCAAGTCAGACAATAAAGCAGCAAAATAAAATTAGAAGTATCTCAGACTTTATTAAAAGTCAGTGACAAAGAGAGACAGAGATGTTTTATGTCTCATTCCAGATAGTGGACAATCCCTAATGTTAGCCATATTCAGAGCATACCCACTAAAAGAAAACAGAGTCAATTTATTTCTGTGGGTTACAATGGGTATGCTTTAGTATGATTTAGTTGGATATCAGGCACTGTACCTGTGGCAAAAGCCATGTATGAATTTGGTTAATTTAGTATAAGCAACTGTCATATACACATTCTGGTCTTTTGGGGACCCTGACTATTGTTCCCCATAATTTCCCCTTGCCCCCTGTCAAGAGAGCCTATACCTATACCCATTCCCACCAATGAGCCTTTCCTTGCTTTGTTTGTCGGCTTGCATTTATTTCAGTGGATCCCTGCCTTGTCAACTAACATTCACAGCATTCTCTTTCCTCCAGTGAACCTTCTGGTTTCCTACTGAAAGCAAGGGGGAAATTGTCACTCGCACTGTCATAATTTCCCCTCCCTTTTAATTAGTCTTTCCCAAGACAGGGGTGGCAGCGCTGGGAAGACTCTACCTGTTGAATTTCTTCCAGCCACACAGCTATCATCAAAGGGGCCGGTGGCTAGTATTGCTGGGGGGGTCCCGTGCGGGGCCAACCCAACCTACCTTGCAGGGTTATTGCAAGGCTAAAAGAGGGGGTTGGAAGCCATGCAGACCACGCAGTTTCTTGGGAGGGATGGAAATGAGGTGCAGCCTGAAAAGGGGAGCAACTCTAAGCGCTCTCATCCCATCCCCCCCCGACTCCTTTCTCAACAGAGCAACCCATCCAGTACCTTAGTCATGCCGACTCCCACCACAAACACCCTCCTTCCTAACCGGGACGGAGCCATCGCCGTTGCTCAGGATCGCCCTGCGCCCCCAACTGCAAGCCCGACGAGCGCGAGTCCTCTTTCTCCTCCCTGGCACTCGCGCACGGGTTGTTGGACTGGAGGGGGGGAGGTTCCAGCCAAAGGTCGACGGCAGGGGCGGGGACCGCGTTGAGATTATCGCTCCGCCCCCCGCGCTCTTAAAGCAACAGTCTCTGAATCGACAAGCACCAATCGTGCAGGACGAAAGATGAAAATTAGTGGTTGCATTATACAGTGGTACCTCGGGTTAAGAACTTAATACGTTCTGGAGGTCCGTTCTTAACCTGAAACTATTCTTAACACGAGGCACCACTTTAGCTAATGGGGCCCCTGCTGCCGCTGCGTGATTTCTGTTCTCATCCTGAAGCAAAGTTCTTAACCTGAAGCACTATTTCTGGGTTAGCGGAGTCTGCAACCTGAAGCGTATGTAACCCGAGGTACCACTGTACACCTAGAAGAACCAGTGCCGGATTTACATAAGCTAAACAAGCTATACCTTAGGGCCCCTCTCTACTGGGGGCCCTCTAAAAATTTAAAGGGGAAAAAACCTGGATGTACATTTCCAAAATATAAGATAAAAAAGAAATAAAATAAAACCTACATACAGCAACAGTGTTTTGTGTTGTGTTTCCTATGATGTAAGTAATGGGCCCCGCCTGCTAGCCTGCCCCCTAAAATATCACTGGTTTGCTCATTTCTATATATAGGGTGCCTACATTCTGCATGGACTGGTTGCATGGCTTTCGATACCTGTTAGGTCCATAAATTCCCATATAGCATATAGTAAACACAAAAAACAGTGACAATTTGTTGTTGACAGCTGAACATATAAAGGGCCCCATTACCTTCAGTAGCTTAGAGCCTCATCAAACCTAATCCGGCCCTGAGAAGAACCATAGACTGTAGAGCTGGAAGGGGCCCGAGGGTCATTTAGTCCAACCCCCCTGCAAACTCAGGAATCCTGCCCTCCAAACTTCTGGTTAAGCTTCTGTGAAGGTTGTTTTTGCAAAGGTGATGTTTTGAAAATCCTAAGCCAAAAACTTTGGAAAGAAAAGTTGGTTCTTGAAGGTTCAATTCCATAGCTTTCCCCACTTGCCTGGGAGTAAGCCCCACTGAATTCAGTAGGGTTTGCTTCTGAGGAGCCGTAGTTAGCATTCCCCTGTCAACTTGCACCCGTTTAAGCCACGACATAGCAGAGAGAGACGCTGTTTCCTTGGTTCGCCCCCCAAACTTAACAGTTAGCAGGCAAGGAGGCGGCGCCTTTCCACTCGTCCTCAGCTCGAGCCTCCAGCTGCAAGGAAGTGAGCGAGCGCTGCCTGAAATCGATCCGCCGCCGCCGCTGCTCCTTTCAGACTTCCAAGAACGAATAAAAAACATAGAATCGCGATGCTCCGCTTGGGCAGAGGAGCCGCCTTGCTGCGGACGCTTCCCGCCCAGCCCCCGGGGGAAAGGGGCAAGATCCCCAGGAGAGCCGCGTCTGCCGGGAGGAAAAAGGAGATCCTGCTCGAAGTGCACGGAGAGGCTGGAGAGGGTGAGTGGAGCCCAACAGCCTCCTGAGGGTGTCCGGGCCCAGTTGGGGAGGCCCAGGGCGGCTCTGCAATAAACGGGAGCTTCGCAGACGGCGTGGCGGGGGGAGGGGGGGTCGTAGCTACTCCTGCAAGTTGTTGCAAGGGACGAGGTAACCTCCCGTCCCGTCCAGCCCTTTGCATGCTTGCTTGTTAACTCGGAAGTAAGTCCCGCTGAGTTCCACGGGGCTTATACTCCGAGGTAAGTAGGTACAGGATTGTAGCGAGGCTATGGAAAGTGGATGGATGGATTTCATAAAATATATATGCCACTTGAACCTCAGAGAGAGCGTTACCAAAAAAAAAAAAAAGCAAGAAAATCATCAATAAAAAGTTTGCAACTGTAATTATAAAAGACAGAGGTTAAATCCGCAGTAAAATAGGCTGGAACAAATTAAAACTCCTGCAAAGTTTCCTCAAACATGTCTGAAGAGAGAGCAACTGTAGTCTTCTATCAAAACCTGGGAAGCCCCGTCAATTATGCTGCCGTCCTCCAATCACAAGTGTTGTTCGTGGGCAACACCCTCCCAGTAAACAAAGATTAGCCAGGCATGAAAGGAACCATTGGGCGCGCCACAGCTTGAAGGAGCTGCCTAGCCCATTTCAGGAATAGATGAGAGATCCATTTGGGAAGGCTGCACCTGTTGACCTCCAGTTGTTTTGGACTACAACTCCCTGGCACCTGGGTGGCAAAAGCTGCACTAAGCACAGCAGGGATGGGGAACCTGAGGCCTTCGGGATGTAGTTCAGTGGCAGAGCATCTGTCTTGCGTGCAGAAAGGGCTGGGCTCAGTCCCCCAGCATCTCCAGAAAGGGCTGGGAGAGGTAAAGGTAAAGGTACCCCTGCCCGTACGGGCCAGTCTTGACTGACTCTAGGGTTGTGCGCTCATCTTGCTCAAGAGGCCGAGAGCCGGCGCTGTCCGAAGACACTTCCGGGTCATGTGGCCAGCGTGACGAAGCTGCATCTGGCGAGCCAGCGCCGCACACGGAAACGCCGTTTACTTTCCCGCTATAAAGCAGTCCCTATTTATCTACTTGCACTTAGGAGTGCTTTCGAACTGCTAGGTTGACAGGAAGGGCTGGGAGAGACTCCTGCCTAAAACACAGAGAGCTGCAGGCAGTCAGAGTAGACAGTACTGAGTTAGATAGGCCTAATGGTCTATCAGCATACGCAGCTTGCTATGCTCCCATTAGCCCTAGCCAGAGTGGCCCAAGGTCAAGGATGGTGAAAGTTGTGGTTCCGAGAACATCTGCAAGGCCACTGGGTCTGCCTCTGGGCTAAGCCTAGCCTTGGTCACTGGGTTTGTGTCCCTCTCGCTTGCATTCCACACACCCTGGAGTATTGTAAGCTGCCTTGAAAGCTCTGGCTGAAAAGTGGCTTAAATATTTAAAATCAACAATAAGAAATGGAACTACCTCTAAACAATAAGTGAAAAAGAGTTCTTTATTTTATTTTGGAGTACAGGTATTGCAGAAATTCTGATGAACAGACCACATGCCAGAAATTCACTGGGGAAAGTGTTCGTGGATGAGGTGAGTGAAGATTGTCTTCCATCGTACAGATGATATTTGTATTGGGATCCCAGGTAACTTCGTAGCTTCTTAGACCTTAGTAGAACCTAGAGTTTTTGAAGTGGAGACAAACGGCACAGTCTGATACATATCTAATAAGAAGTCCCATTGAATTAAAAAGGGATTACTCCCAGATAGGTGTGAGTAACAGCGATAGCATGCACAATAATTGGGTATGGGAGCTGTAGTCCAGTGATTGCTGCAGGGGTGCTAACTTGCATAAAATATTGGGTAAGCCCTGCCCCACATAATCACAAGATGCAGTGCACGCACACCATTTGAATGGCAATGCCCATCAACGGGGGGGGGGGGCAAGGAACCTTGGCCCCTAGGAGTTGGCTCCTGTGCCTGGAGGACCAGCTTTTCCATCCTCGATATAGATAGGTTTGCAACCTGCATGTGCAGGATAGTCTAATATTTACATACTTTGCGTGGAAATGCTTATAAGTACAATAGCAAAACGATGGTTTGTATCCAATGCTAGTCCTACTCAGAATAGGCACACAGACATTATTAAATATGACTAACTTAGGTCCATTCATGTTAGTGAGTCTCTAGTCTGAGTAAAACTTATTTGGATACAAGCCAATCTATCAGCATGCTGTATATTTGATCTGCTTAACATGCTTGTGTGTACTTTCGATTTCATTTTTTCAGTTCAGTACTCAGCAATGGTCACATAATAAATCAAATGAACTGGTAGAATTTTCTATTAATTGAAATCTGATGTTGCACCCACTCTCTCCCGCTCTCCCCCTCAGCTGTTTGAAACCCTCGAAGTTCTCCATTTTGATGAGAGTATTCGCGTGGTGATAATTAAGAGCAAAGTGAAAGGCGTTTTTTGTGCAGGTGGGTAGAGGCATTCTCTGATTTAAGAAAATCAGAGGCATATATATATATATATATATGCAGGTTTTGGTGTCCTCGGGTGTCTTCCCGTGTAAAAGTTGGGGTGTCTAGGCGACGTTTCGACGAGGTCTCACTCGTCATCTTCAGGCTGGTGCTTTCGGCTTCTTGTTACTGGAACAGAGCTCTGTTCCAGTAACAAGAAGCCGAAAGCACCAGCCTGAAGATGACGAGTGAGACCTTGTCGAAACGTCGCCTAGACACCCCAACTTTTACACGGGAAGACACCCGAGGACACCAAAACCTGCATTCCTGTACCCGTGAAAATCTACGAAAGCATATATATATATATATATATATATATGAATAAGCACATATATATGAATAATATATATATATGAATAAGCACAATAAATAGATTTTAAGCAATTACATGTTTCCCCTCACTGGATTTAATATGTATTTGTTGTGTCTTGTGTATCCTTGTGATTACAGAAATTGCTGCCTCCAAATCTAAAAGCTGAATTATTCTTAATACTAGGTATAAATATAGGGGTTTTTTTGGGGGGTGTAGTTTTACTGCTTTTCTCATCGTATCTCATCCTGATTCATATTCCTGCCATTCTATTACCAGCAGCGGTGCAAACTTTAAATTCCAGAACATCTTGATTTCTACACTGTGCTGAGATCATTTGAACCTTGTGAAATATAGGATAAACATGATAGCAATTAATATGTGTAATTGACAGTGGGCATTTTTCTGTTAGGGTATATTAATTATGTAGGAGGAGAATGGAACATGTATGCATTATTCTGTCAAAATTGATTAATAATCTGCCAAAGCTAACAAGGCTGAAACCAAATTGCAAGTTGTCACTATCACAACCTAATCCTACACAGAATTAGGTATGTTTGCCTCTACAAGGGACTAAGCCGTATAATTATTTGTAGTTTACAGAGCAGTTCCTAGTTCATTGAAGCACTGCTGTTGAACCCATTATGTTTCCTTTCTCTATCTCCCCAACTGCCTTCTGCTGTTGTAAATTCAGGTGCCGACTTAAAAGAGCGTGCTAAGATGAGCAATACTGAAACTGACCATTTTGTTCAGAGGCTCAGAAGTTTAATGAATGGCATTGGTAAGTACCTCATCTTGAACTCCTTTGCATGTGATTGTCTTTTTAACAGGGATGGGTAACCTTTTGGACTCAGTAGGCCAGATCAAAGGGACGCAGATCGTGCTGTGGTCTAAACCACAGATCCTAGGGCTTGCCGAACAGAGGTGACGGGGTGAGCTCCCGTTGCTCGGCCCCAGCTCCTGCCCACCTAGCAGTTCGAAAGCATGTCAAAGTGCAAGTAGATAAATAGGTACCGCTCCGGAGGGAAGGTAAACTGTGTTTCTGTGCGCTGCTCTGGTTCTCCAGAAGCGGCTTAGTCATGCTGGCCACATGACCCGGAAGCTGTATGCCGGCTCCCTCGGCCAGTAAAGTGAGATGAGTGCCACAACCCCAGAGTCATTCGCGACTGGACCTAACGATCAAGGGTACCTTTGCCTTTACCTTTACCTTCAGGGCCTGACTTTGACAGGCAGGAGGGACCACTCACTTGTCAGTCATTTGCCATCATGTCAGGTGACTGATAGGTAAGTGGTCCCGCCTACCCGCCAACAGTTTACGCATGGGGCTTGCTTACACAGCATGTCCCCTATGCTGGTGAAGCAGCATGCTTCAGGACTGAACTCTCTTCAAGCCTAAACACATCTAGAACAATGTTGCATTCATTTAAATGAAGCATTGCTTCCAAGTATTTGAGATCAGGATGTTAGATTTGAATTCATATGGAGTCACTTCTTTCTTCTGTCTGAAATTCCTAAATGTTGCCTAGAACTGCTTCAAAGAAAACATTTAATGAAACAACCCTGTTTGTGTAGGCTAAACTAACTTTTAAAAAATAAAGGCCTAATTCATATTAAGTCTCCCCATTCATCACTATGCTATTTTGGATAGATTTACCAACTACTGTAAATGGTGCTGCACTGAATGTCTTGCTATTTAATTTTTACAGCTGCTCTGCCAATGCCCACCATTGCTGCCATAGAAGGCCATGCGTTGGGCGGGGGCTTGGAACTGGCACTAGCTTGTGATCTCCGCGTGGCAGGTGAGTCCACCAGCACAACCGAGGTCTTCTACTCTCACTGCAATGACACTTAAAGTTGGTAATTGGTGTGCTAAAATTCCAAGTGCTAACATTTAGTGCTTTAAACAGCACGTTGACACTGTACTATGTGCTAATGTAGCTTCTCCCCTTGTTGTGTTCTTGTTATAAATCAGCATCGTCGGCTAAGATGGGCTTGATTGAAACAACAAGAGGACTCTTTCCTGGTGCAGGTAGTGTAGCTTCATCCACTTTTTTTGCTGCTTTTACATTAATTATGTGTCCTATTGTGAGGTAATAATGCTATAATTAAGCTAAAACATCCCAGCAGTCCCAAAACCCCTCCCTAGTTCTGCCAGTTATTTAAGCAAGATTTCATCTTTGTTTTTCCTTTTTTTAAAAAAGAAATTGGATATGTGAATACTCCCTTCTCCAGTTTTAAAACAGAAATGCTTCTATACTTACCATTTTGATCATAGGTGTGAGAGAGATATAATTTTAAAGACTGGCAGCCTGACATCTCAGTCACTTCGCCGGTTAACTGTTCATCCCAGCAAAGAAATGCCGCATCTCCTCCTAGTAATTTTTCATCTGTAGCTACAAGTATTTCCTGAAATGTAAACTAAATCCCAGCTATTTTGGAATACTACAACATTTAGACACTATATAGAGAGGAAATTCGAAGATCTTATGATATTACCGTACATTGTGGAAATTCTGTCTCTGAGGCAGAACTTAATAGCTTTTCCACAATCTCATTTTTCACTTACTTAAAACAAACAAGCAAACATTCCCTCAAGCTGTGGTTGGATTCCCAACTCCCACCAGTCCCAAGACAGGGATAATGGGAGTCCAACTACATCTAGAGAGCCACAGGTTCCCCATCTCTGAACTATAGAATCCATTCCAGAAGTCTGTTCGACTTCCAAAAATGTTCGAAAATTGGAACACTGATTTCCGGGTTTGTGGCATTCGGGAGCCAAAACGTTCAAGAACTAAGCTGTTTGAAAACCAAGGTACGACTGTATAGTTTAAGCATGGAAACCATAAAGATGTGCATCCTCTTAAAAATATGTTATGTATTTGGTTTTTTTCCTGTCTAGGTGGAACCCAGCGCCTACCACGCTGTATTGGACTAAGCCGTGCTAAAGAACTAATTTTTACTGGCAGACAGATTGATGGACAAGAGGCGTTCTCAATAGGTTTAGTTAATCATGTAGTGCCACAGAATGAGGAAGGGGATGCAGCTTACCAAAGAGCGCTGGCTTTGGCTGAAGAGATTGTTCCTCGGGTCAGTATATCTTTGCATTTGCCAAGTAATGTCAAGGTTGCTTTATGTAATACATTGAATCTGTTGCAAAGTAAACCAGGTTAGAATTCTTTAGTTTCTGCCTTTCTGAATAATTTGATGTCCTCTGTAAAATTAAGCTAGTTTGCTGTTTGTTTAAAAACTGGTACAAACAGATATTTGGAGAGCATTGTGCATACTTTCTGTATAGTGATAACTATCCCCATCTTTAATGATACCGTTTTGGATCTACAAGAGACACATTGTATGCTGGTATACTTTGGAGCTCTTAGTCCTCAACAAGGCACTCAGTCAGGAACTAGACTGGGGGGTGGAGCATGACTGTGCGTTTCCAATTACTCACAGAAGTTTGTATCTGCACTGGAATGTAGGTGAAATGATTTGTTTTTCTTGATCAATTTGAGATGTTTCATTGGAAGCAATTCATAAATGGAAATTATATATATTCTCTTTAAAGGCTCCCATAGCTGTGAAAATGGGGAAAGTGGCTATAAACAAAGGGAGTGAGGTAAAGTATGCTTTTTATAACCGTCTTGGTTAGTTTATTATTAAACCAGCAGAACCCCACCAAAACAGTTGCTTCTAGAGTGGCATAACTCATTTGTATCATAACTCATAAGAAGCTGTTTGCCCTTGGCTCCTTCCTTCTCCCTCCTATGCCTTTCCTCAGGGCTGTCATTTCTTCACTTCCACCCAATTAAATATTGCTTGTAAAAACAGGTGGACAGGAATAAAAGCAACAGTGAGGCAGAGATTTGTTTTGTTTAAGCAAAGACTGGATTATATTGGGCACATATAAAGTAGGGTCCAGGGAGGTAACCTTATTAGTCTGTATTTTAGTACCTTAAAAACTAAAGGACCTGTTGTGACAGCAGCTTCAACAAATGCTTCTATCTGATGAAGGAGTTCCTAGTCCACAAAAAGCTTTTACTACGTTAGTCTTTAAGGCCCACGACCCTTGCTGTTTAAAGTGCAGTTACTCAGTTTAACGTAATGGTGAAGACTGATACCTTTGTCACTTCATCAAGTCTGTCATGATAGTGCTCTATTGTTAAATTTGCAGCTTGCAATATTGCTATTATTTTAAGTGCGCACTTTCTCACATGCAATTAAGATTTCTCTCTTTCCAGGTGGATATTGCCTCTGGTATGGCTATAGAAAGAATGTGTTATGCCCAGGTAAGCTAGCCTTTAATTAAACCCTGCTTTCCCCCACTTAAGTGTTCACTTTATGCATATTGAAGTGCTCAGCTGTGAAACACTTCTACCTATGATTTGGCTCCAAAAGGTGTAATTGCACTCAGAAACTTACTTGGAATGTTTGACTTTCCTCAGTTCTTACCTGAGAACATTGTTTCTAGCATCCCTCTACAAACAGCTGTACACTCAGAGCATCTAATAAGGCTGCTCAGAATTCATCAGTTGAGAGCTGTAATGTGTAATACATGTGCACACCACTATGATATTGATTGGAAAAATAGATGTGATGGGATCAGCAGACTGCGCACTCTACATCTGTTACTCACTTACTTCATAAAGGAAAGAGTGAAGGGATATGTTTGTATACTCCCCCCCTCCCCCAAGGATGGTGGCAATTAGGAAATATAGTATTAATTGGTGTTTCTGTCTTTTAAATACAGAATATCCCTACGAGAGACCGGGAGGAAGGGATGGCAGCTTTCATAGAGAAACGGCCACCTAAGTTCATTGGGAAGTGACTTTTGTCAAACATTGTTCAGGTGACTGAAGACAATTGCAAGAAGCTACGAGAAGGCTGTGTCATATTACAATTTTTCTACATAAATTTTATATTCAGACAACATACTGTTTCACTTGTTTACTCCTTTTCAGTCAGAAGTGTAATTAATGCTTGTAGTAGGAATGTAGATACATGTTGGGGATTGAGTATAGTACCAATAGCAGAAAGGCAAAGTCATGCTGATAATTTAAGAGGATGTTAAGAGAAGACCTGTCATCTTAGGATGTTCATCCTCATTCTTGGTTTCAACACCACTGCTAGAATGCCTTTATAGTCATATAGAATGTTCTTTCAGTGTTCATCCAGGAGGACGTAAGGGAGGTGCCAAGTTCTTAGAAAGGTAAAAATGCTCCTTTTTAGAAGACCTCTAAACTCATATGCAGCTTATCGTATGCGAGAACAGTTGGCATCACCTTCAGCGTACCAAAAATATTTGAGAACTTGGCTTTCAGCACTTTCAAGACAGCAGCACCCTAATGCGCAGTCCATGAAATGGTTACGGATAAGGCTTTTCTTGTAAAATAGGAAAGCTACTCCTGCCTTTCACATCTGCAAAATGGGATGAACAGTTAAGCATCAGGAGTTTTAACTCAGAAAAAAGAATGCAAGTAGCATTGCCCAACATGATAGTTTGCTTTTAGTAAAAGAGAAATAGTATTCTTGTGACATTCAAAAATATCATTAAAGGCCGAACATTAAATGAACAGGTACACACCTATTTAAACAAACACCAGAAGAAATACTGCCAGAAAATAGGGCACATGTGCTCTTTGTTTTCAAAGGAATGTACAATCAGGATTTATTCACAGCAAGTTGCTCATAATTGGGCTATAAAATCATGACTGCTTACTGATCCACAAGATAAATCTTTGAATAATTGTGATTCATATGGGTGTGGAATATAACTTTGGCCCAGAATGGCCTCCAACATGAGTTGTGCAATGGGGCCATTTGGGACATCTTTGTCATATGAGTATCTGCATCACCAACTACAGCTATTACACATTACGCCAATTGCACAATAAGAAAGATAGCTTGTGCTTAATTTATAAGAGGGGAGATGAGCAGGATTATCAAGAGCCTACAGTACATAAATGGATGAAAAACTTGCCTGAGCTAGTTTTCCCTCTTTATCAGTGAGCAAAGGCCTAACTAGATGTTATGGCTGCAGAAGCCGGCTGTTCTGTGCAAGCTCTTCTATGAAGTGGAGGGGGCACAATTTAAAAGCACATTGCAGGAATGTGGCGCCCTTTGACTGCCTGCACCAGGCATAGGCAAACTTGGCCCTCCAGATGTTTGGGGACTACAACTCCCATCATCCCTAGCTAATGGGACCAGTGGTCAGGGATGATGGGAGTTGTAGTCCCAAAACAGCTGGAGGGCCAAGTTTGGGGATGCCTGCTCAACACCATGGATGAAAATTTTCAGCTAAGCCTATAAAGTTGCTGATTTCCATAATAGTATGATAATCCTTGTGAAGCCTCCATTTCGCCCTTCATGCCAACCAGTTTGATTAAAGAAAAAACTTGCAGTCACATCTCTGTACCATCATTGGACATTCCTTTTATTTTAAGTATTAAAACCTAGAAAGTATGTTGAAAGATTTCCCCCCTCCAAGTACAAAAATAGTTTGCGTACACTCGTAAACAATGTGGATGCACAGGGTTTTTAAGTCGGGTTGTGGCAATATACAACTGACAAAGCCAGAATCTCCCCTGTACAACATGCACATAGAATGTGTGTAAGCCCCTCACGAACGCTTTGGACTGGCTTAACAGCCTGTTGAAGACTAATTCAACATTTTAGTTGGAGCAGCCTACCTCTCCCTTGCCCAGGATTTTCAAAACCCCTCTGCCCTCACCGCATGGGATTTTTAAAGTGTTTCTCCAAGGCTAAGCCAATCCTATTTTCTCTCGGCTACCACAAGCAATACAGAGTTTACTGGTGGTAAGGTATGGACAAAAAAAATGGAACAGTTCCTGGACTGACAAGAAGAAAGATTACTGGCACGAGAACAAGTAGCTTTTAAAGCCTCCATTTGCAGTGTCCTTAACCACCACCATATGAAATTGGTGGCTTACAAAGCCAACAGACTCTTTTCAAGACCTGTACAGTCAGCTACTAAGCAGTTTTCTCTAGGCACGGTGCCCCATTTCCCTTTTCAGAAGGCAAGTTACAAATTAAAGCTACTTGTCGGAGACTTCCAGATGTGCATGCCATACAAGTGTCCTCAGATCTTACAAGGACAACCATCTTGATCAGAAATGCCCAAGAAAGCATTAAGAAATCACCATCGCAGCTTCTGCACATGACAAAATGAAAGAAACAGCCGTGCCCTCGGTTATCCATTTGACTTGGCTTGTATCTCCTTTCGCTGTTTAGGCTTCCCATAATATTTCATGTGAGTGTCCACGTAAGATAGTATCTCGTTTGTTAGATACTGGACATCTGGATCGCTCTGGTCATTTTCTTTAATATTATATAAATGCTGTAGCCCATTCTCTTCTATTAACATGGAACAGTACCTGGCAGCTGAAGAGAAACAAAAATCTGTTTATTAGATGATCCAACATGAATGGAACATAACCACTCTAGCTTCATATCTTCACTTCGCTCCCGACTTCAGGACATTGAGATTCCTCATTTAACAAAGAAGTTTTAAGCACAGACACAGCAGAGTCGTACCTTGGTTTTTAAACAGCTTAGTTCTCAAATGTTTTGGCTCCCGAACGCTGCAAACCCAGAAGTGACCGTTCTGCTTTGTGAACTATTTTTGGAAGCCAAACACCCGAAGAGGCTTCTGCAGCTTCCGATTGGCTGTAGGAGCTTCCTGCAGCCAATCAGAAGCTGTGCTTTGGTTTCCGAACATTTTGGAAGTCGAACGGACTTCCAGAACGGATTCTGTTCAACTTCCAAGGTACAACTGTACTCAGTTTGTATTTCTGCAGAGAAGTACGGAGTTTAAAAGGTGTTCATTGCTGCAGTTTGTGTGACATAACTGAAGGTAAGAATGCCCCCTGAGGGAATTTTAAAGTTTATTTCCCTACACCAAGACACAACCGTCCTAACAGAATAGTTATTATAGTGTCACACAAACAAAAGCATGTTGTATGCTGCAATTACCTGGTAAGAGAGAACTCAAGTCCATGTGTGTAAAAAGGCACCAGCAAACCCAGTTACCTGTTCTACACATTTGGGGCCTAGCAGACCTCACATACTTGCCAGGAAAATTCTAAAGATGCATTTGCTGTTAGAGGCAGCAGGAACTTACTCCCACCAGAGTTCCACAGTATTAATACCTTATTGCAATAAAGGGAGGAGGAAGAGAGAGAAGGGGAGCAGCATAAATCACCCTCTGAGCTTACAACAAATGCAGGGACAGAGCTGATCACCAAAGCATTTGGTCTGAATTGCCAGAACATACATTGCATCTTCTGCCAAGTTTTTTTTGGGGGGTGGGGGGAGCTACATGGACATTCCCAACAGGCTTTACAGGCTGAACTTGAAAGTCATAGGCTTATTAAAAGAAAACCATCCATACGTACGGGTTTTGCAACAGATGTGCAGAATGGCCCACGCTGCCCAAATCTGCACTCCAGGTAATGCAAAGCAGTCAAGTAATGGGTAGAAAGGCTTGAGGGACCTATGGATTGAAGAAGAGTTACCTAAGAATCATGATTAGCATTAAGGCTGGCAGAGAAAAGGTGGAGGAAGTGGTGTTTGGGGCAAGGAAATGAAGATGGATTGCAGAACTACTTATGTACATAGCACTGATCTAGTAAAAATAATTACAATTGTCTGATAAATATATTGCGATCTGTTTAATAACTTCTAACAAGTCATAAGTGTTGGTTTGTTGTTCGCTTGGCAGATACATATCAGCAACAGGGTTCAATGTTGAGCAAGTTATTTAGAACATTTGAGGCTATTCCCTTCTGATACGTTCCAGAGGGTCCCTGCTTGCCAGGTAACCATATACAGTACAGTATACAGAATTACTGGCCAAGGCATATTTTGACTAGAGGTATACCTATAGGCTGGCAGTGCTACCATCTTGCATTCTGGTGTTGGCCACTTCAACAGAGCTGCATGCTGTAACAGAGAGAACCAAGTGTCAACTTTTCAATAAACACTGAAAATATTTGAAATAACTATGGAATCTAAGTCACCGTACCAGTTTTTCAATGAGGGATCTTCTCAGTGTTTGACTCAGCGCCCAGGATTGTTCGCCTCTAGATAGCAAGTTTGAAATAATCCCGGCTGAGAAGTAGTTCACTTCCATTTCGGCGCTGCTTAGCAGTTCACTGACACGATCTAGGAAGTCCTTCTGCATTAACTTGGACTGCAGCTCTCTCACTTCTGCTACATTGTTCTGATGAAGATAGAAAAAATACAACCGTGAAGATCACGAGTTGGCAAATGCTGTGCTAACTCGTTGTCACTTTATTATTGAAAGTGAATACATTTTCCCTGAAAGGAGGATGGGCCAGCATCTCTTTATATGTTGAGAAGTGCCGTGCACCTCAAGCCAATAAAAAAATCAGATGTATTTCATTGCTATATCAACTCTTAAGGAAATTTTTCTACTGAAGAAAAATCAACTTCCTTTTCCCACCTTTTCATGAAGACCAGAAGAGAGAACAGCACGGAGGATTACTCTACTCATAAATGACAGATTTAATAACTTTAAAATTCACACATTAACTTTTAAAACAATTTTAGTACATTGCACTTTATTCTGCTCTTACCAGAAGGCCAAGAACTTTATGCTGTATTGAAGAGTCAGATGAAAAAGTCTGCAAAGAGAAATAGGTTTAATTATTAAGCTTATGTAGCTGGAGGAGACTCTTGAGAGTCCCATGGACTGCAAAAAGATCAAACCTATCCATTCTGAAGGAAATCAACCCTGAGTGCTCACTGGAAGGACAGATTCTGAAGCTGAGGCTCAAATACTTTGGCCACCTCAAGACTATCTGGAAAAAACTCTGTTGGGTAAGATTGAGGGCACAAGGAGAAAGGGACAACAGAGGACGAGATGGTTGGGCAGTGTTACAGAAGCGACCAACATGAATTTGACAAAACTCCGGGAAGCAGTGGAAGAAAGGAGTGCCTGGTGTGCTCTGGTCCATGGGGTCACAAAGAGTTGGACATGACTAATCGACTAAACAACAAGTGTGTTGTATTTGTCAACTGGCTAGAAAGGTAGCTACCATGTTTACCTCTAAAACTCTCATAAAAAGCTCCAACCCTTTGTTATCAATGAAGTGCCCACACGTAGTTGGCGCTTCATCTGTGAGATTCCAAAGTGCGCTCAGTGTAAAATGGAAAGTTGTATCTAATTCATTCTGATTTATTTTCTGTTCAACGATTTCAAGTAGTTTCTGCAAAGGAAGAAAACGACACCATTAACTACATAGAATAATTATACATGAAGTGCAAATTTCAACATTGCACTCTCCTCTCCAAACCCTCTTAAACATTGCTCACTGTTATGGGGAAAGGAGATGCAGCAACTCACCCCAACAACAATGTAGAACTCGGCAGCAAGTTGTGCTGCTTGGTCGTCTGAAAGCTAAAAAACAAACCACATATTTGAAATCCGTATGTGGAAGAGCTTCTGATAATAAAGATGCACTAGATGAAAATGTAAAATCACATACCTTAAGTGCTAGGATAGAGATTATATTAACAGCAATTCTTTGTATATGTTGGTTTTCCTGGTTACAAAGCCACTGGACAACAAATTTCGCAGCTGCAAACCTAAAATTTAAAAGCATTGTCAGAGTATACACTTTGCAACTCTAAACCAGGTCATAGTGAAAGAACAAGATTAATAAAGCAGTTTTCCCCTTTCACTTTCACCAGTTTTTAAGCAGATATTAATCCTGTCCTGAGGCAAAGTGCAGATGAGAGAGGCCTGCTGACAACCCAAACCTAGCCTTCTCGTATGCAGAAATGAAAGGAGAACCAAGCTGACCATTCCTAAGAAGTCAAAACAAAAAAAATTCCTTCCAGTAGCACCTTAAAGACCAACTAAGTTAGTTCTTGGTATGAGCTTTCGTGTGCATGCACACTTCTTCTTCATCTTCTTCATCTGAAGAAGTGTGCATGCACACGAAAGCTCATACCAAGAACTAACTTAGTTGGTCTTTAAGGTGCTACTGGAAGGATTTTTTTTTTGTTTTGACTATGGCAGACCAACACGGCTACCTATCTGTAACATTCCTAAGAAGTGTTTAACTGGTCAAGGCACTGAGATCAGAGCTATACACCACCCTTCAATAAGACATTGCTGTCTATTTGCTGTACAAAGATGATAAGTACCTAGGGTTTCTTGACATTCCCCACCCCACCTTATCAGCACAAACAGCATCAGAAGTTTTTGCAGGGGTCTCTACTTACTAAGCAACTGAGCCATTAAACCCAAGGCATAGCAAAAAGGAACAAGTCAGATCCCCTGTTCATCTGGTGCGGTTCTGTCTACTCAACTCGCAAGAGCACGCCAAGGTCTCGGATTTTCTAGTGGGCTGGACTATATGGGGAGGGGGGATGAATGAATTTCTATGCCCCACAAACAACCCAGAGATGCATTTTAAATAATAGGACACATTCTACTCATGTAAAAACACGCTGATTCCCGGACCGTCCACAGGCCGGATTGAGAAGGCAATTGGGCCTTAGGCTGCCTACCCCTGTCCTAGAGATTGAGCGAGGGGGCAGACAGACTATACTGGGAAGAGCTGTCTATCCCTACTGTACATTAACTGATTGGAGTCACTTGCCTGTTAAATGGAACGTCTTGCAGGATCCTGACACTGGATAGTGAAAGAAGACAGTTCTTCTGGAGCTATATGGAAAGAGAGAACTTAGCACCATAGGGTTCTATATTTGTTATTCTTATTCAAGTTATATACCACCCTTCGTCAAAGGCAGTTTACAGTATTTGAAGCTAATTATCCATTTTTACAGGATAGATGGTTCAAGAATGCAGGTTTTCAATGCTTTGCAGCTTAAGAGCATGAGTTTAGGTATCTGAACTCCATTGAAATTCATGAGTATGACTAATTTAGGTTCATTGGTTTCCATAGGTCTACTAGGAACATAACTTAGCTGAGTACTACCCTACAGCTCAAACCCTCCAAATGAAACAAAATTCTAAAGTCATCAAAATATGGAACAACAAATTAAAACAGATAGTTATCTAGGACAGGATCAGATTATTCAGCAATATGGAAGCAGAGGTAAGACAATTTCTGAGCTACACTTCTGATAGAACCTTGACTTTCCCAAAGTCAAAGACTGGGCACTAAATGGAAGAAGAGGTATATATTGGAAGAGTTAACAGCTGCATGGAGGACAGGCATTCTGTAGTTTCTAACATTAAACCCACACTGGGCCACTTCACAGTCACACCAATCAGAACCCTGTGTATGTGTTTAGGCAGTGAGTGTGTCACCCCACTCATGTGAGAGGGCAACAGTTGTGTGAACTGAGCCAGTGTGTTCTACCATGTGTGGTGCATCACACATGCTACATCTGCTGCCCTCCCCAGCCCCCAAATACAGTTCTACATATTTAAAAAACATAACACAACGTCATAAGCCAAGGATCTAAAAGAGCCAACATTTCACACCTCAAGCTCCAAACTGTGGCTACAGGTGGCATTTTAAAAGCTGACAAAAAGTTAGGGAGAATAGAAAAGAAATCCATACAATTTTTGTGTGTGCACCATTTGTTCTATCATTCATGTGCCCCGATTTGAGCAGCAAATCTCCTACTGTGCTTTAGTACTGGTATAACAGATGTTGTGAGATCTGCTCTCTTATTAGGGCTGTTGAATTGTAACTGTATCCTACCCAAAACCCTTACCTGCTGCTGTTCAGGAAAGGTTTCCATGGCTTTGAGGAGCAGCTGGATTACGCTGGAAAGCAGGCGAACAGGCATGCCTGCTGCTAAGCCTTGTCTTGTTAAGTTAAGGGCACAGGCACTAGCAGTTAACTGTACTGCCAAGTCCAAAGGATGATTCCTCATTCCAATGATCACAAGCTGCAGCAAGAAATATGCAAAGAACCAATTCAGCACAACACATAATGGAATTAAAAATCCAATAAAAATAAGGATGGATGAATGAGAATAAAAAGAGGTCTACATCTTTGGGGAATGCAGATAGGAGCTAATGGACTAAGTAATATTTGTAAAATTTGACCACAGTAGAATAGCTTGCAAGAAGTTATTACATTCAAACTAATCTGGCTTACCTTTAGGATTTCAGGCTTTGTAATTCTCATAAAACATGTTTGAGTAAAAAGGTGAAAAAAGGCTTCTTTCACAAAGCATGCCCTTTCACTGTAGCGTTTCAAAGCTTCCGAAATCTGCATTTCATTTTCTCCTCCCGATACCTTTGAACATAAAAATAATTCATTATTTTCACTAACTAGGCTCAGAATGGTCATTTCAGGTCTAATAAATTCAGTAGCTAACAAAGCCCTGCAGTAACACGGTGATCCACCAAGCATGAAGATCCAAACCTAATCAGAATGTGTTTTACAAAAACAAACTCTGGAATGAGGTGGGGTTGCAATTCTGGAATACATCCATCCCTTGTGATGCACTAGCATGACCCAAAATAACTACTATAGTGTGGATAAGCCAAAGTGTTGTCATGCCAACACCCCTCTCACTTCTGAGGGTCCAGAAAAGTGGTAAGTGAATATGCCTGAAGACTAGCCTCAGCTTAGCCAGAGGGCTTAGGAAAAATGGAGCTGAACAGTTTTAATGTGTGCTATTTCTTTCCAGAGCTACTCCACTCTCTGCGCTGCACAACTTGCTGTGCACACAGACAGGAACCTCCACTTTCCTTTTAAAATTTATTATTTCATTTAAACTCATTCTTTAATATCACACCTATTTTTCAAAAAACAACTCATGATATAAACATTGTTGGGTCAAGGCTACAAGCAAATTGGAATAAGAACTGCCCTTCCAAACCATTTGTTAGATTTTCAAGTATCATTTTAGTTATAGAACATTTAAAACCTTCAAACCTTTAAGGTTCCTTCTCCTGAAAGGAACTCTGTGTACCCAGCTTCAGTCCCGAGCAATCCCACAAACCGCATTGTTGGCCGTTGTCTGACAAAAGCTTCAACAGCCTCATCGTTAATGTATTTGCTTCCAGAAATGTCCAGAGACACAAGATTGGGCAGAATATCTTTTTGGCCTAGCAAACGAAAGGCAATATCTGACGTGGAATGCTGCTCATCTGAGATGTCAAGGTGAATCAGATGCTTTAGTTCTCTTATTACGTCTAAGAACTTTGGTGTAGGCATTTTCAAGCATTTCAAGCTATGCATAGTTAGAGACTTAAGTCGATGTTTGCAGGCCAGGAGTGCAGTTATTTTTGTGACTGAAGTATTGGAGATATCCAAGCTTTCTAACCTTGGCAGGGTAGCAACCTCTGCTAAATCTTCATCACGGAAGAGCACATTGGTAATGCTCAAAGAACGAAGACCAGACAACTGACTAAAGCACCGTTCATAAGGATTTGTAGGGGAAAGAGTTAATGAGTCCAAGACAAGGCACTGAAGGTTGTTCTGGATCCATGCACTGCTGCCAAGCCCACTCACAACATCTGCAACAGTAACAGTGTCATTCATCCCTGCAGCATCCAGTTCTACTAGTTTGTGGTGGCAGAAGGCTTTTCGGAAAGACTGGGCTGAAATCTTTGCTTTGCGGATACAAGCTTGCTTCAAACGCATCTGGTTGCCTCGGAAAATGCCCACAGTGCCATCATTCAACAGTTCTATTAGGAAAGGAAAACAAGCCTATGTTAGAGCAAGTAAACTACTGAAATCTGGTCAATTGTAAAGTAGACTGTATTACTACATGGTAGGCAATAGTCCAAAAAGTGAGGCGAGAAACTGGTGAGTAGAAACAGAACCACCTGGGCAGGAAGCAGAAAATGGATTGGCGACTATTCAGTGTGATGGCGACTATTTCCTCAACTCTGTATTTTCTGCCTGTGAACACTAGATGGCAGTATAACCCAGATGGACTATCTTCCAAGGTGAACAGACTATTCCTGACAGAAGTACAGTGGTACCTCGGGTTAAGTACTTAATTCGTTCCGGAGGTCCGTTCTTAACCTGAAACTGTTCTTAACCTGAAGCACCACTTTAGCTAATGGGGCCTCCTGCTGCCACCGCACAATTTCTGTTCTCATCCTGAAGCAAAGTTCTTAACCCGAGGTACTATTTTTGGGTTAGCGAAGTCTGTAACCTGAAGCATCTGCAACCTGAGGTACCACTGTATAACACAGAATCATAGAGTTGGAAGGGACCACAAAAGTCACCTAGTCCATCCCCTTGCAATGGAGGAATCTTTTGCCTAATGTGCAGCTGGAATCATGACCCTGAGATTAAGAGTCTCATGCTCTACCAACTGAGCTATATGCAAATATGCTTAACATGCACAGTTTATTCTACTGCTGTTTGTCCTAGCATGAGGGATATTGCTAAGCAGCATGATTTGATTCAGACCACTACTTGACCACTGGAAATAAGCACATTTTAATCTAAACATGGTGGTGAAGCTAATGTGACAGCTAAGTTACAGACTGGGGCTCCTTTGGGAGGAAGGGCAAGATGTAAATCAAATAAATATTAATATCTGGGGCATAATTTTAAATGTTATCCTTATCCAATTTTTCGCTCCTTTGAGGATTTCATAAGATTTCTAGCCCAATATGGTCTAGATATGCATACTTTACATAGGAAGGGGAACAGCACAGAAGAATGAGCTAGCTAGAACAAGCTGTTCTTGTCTGTGAATGACCTCATGTTCAGATCACTTGTGCTAGCACAAAAAGAACTGTTACCTCGATATGCCATTGTCTGCAGCAAGCGATCAGCCACTTCTTGAGGAAGCCTTTCAGATTCTTTCAAGCACAGTGACCCATCAGGCCGTTCTATACAGAATTTTTCTAAATCGGCAACCAAGGCATTCAAGCAGATGTCAACTAAGGAATATGGAGATGCTTCTGCCTATCACCCATGAAAAAACAACAGCACATCAGTAAGAAACTCCTTAGGATCACAAAGTGGCTTAATACATGGCTTCACTTAGTACACATAATAAACTTACATATCTACATTTAATATCCATCACTAAGTGAAACACACAATACTAAAAAAAAAGCAAGTACAAATTATTATTATGGCTGTTCCTAACAGGTCACTACTCAGGATTATAGAATGTTTATCATTGGATTGTTAACACTCCTATAGCAAGTTCCCATACAACTAATGCTCCCCAAATGGGTATAGTAAATACACTGTGTATCTCCAGCCACACTGCAGCAGGAAGACTACCCCTATTACTTACATGGGATACACTGGGGGCAAGATCTGGTTTTTAAGACCAGGTATCTTCTCCACTTCCACTTAATCTTCATCACCATTAACTTTGAGGAGGAAAGTTCTTGGCAACCCCCAGATCACCGGAAGGAAGAGTGTTTTTAACTGTTACAGAGTTTTGAGAATGCTTTAATTATTTTAAGAGTGTTTTAGTTTTTGTTTTTAAATTGTGGGTCTATCCACCACTCTGGGCAGCTCCAGGAGGAAGGACGAGATATGAACAAATTTAAAAACAAATTAATTCAATAAATAAACCATCAGCTGTCACAATCAGATGGCTAAGGCTACAGCCATATGTGGGTAAGCCCCACACTGAATTTCTTAGGGCTTACTTCTGCATAGCCATGTTAGGAGGATTGCTCTTGAGCAGCGCCTGGCAGCCCACAGCAGAACAACCCGGATAGATGAGTGTGGTATTATCATGATGGCAAGCGGACCTATGAAAGAAACCCCCGCTTTTTCCTCCTCCCCTACGAAGAGGAACCCTTTCCCCAAGCCAGCCAGCCTCGTGGGTGGGACCCTAAAGTTTTAACGCAAGTTTAGTAGGCTGTGTGCGCAACCTCTCGGACCCACCAGATGGCCCGCAGCCCCCCAAGAACTCCAGCCCTAAAAAAGCACGCGAGGGTCTTTCAGGGACCCCAAGTTCTTTTTACCACAACCAGCCAACGCAGCCACTTTTCTGGAAACCCGAAAAACTCGGGGGTGCGAGTCGGTGGTGCTTTGGGCTCAGTCACTAGTGGAACTACTCCGGGGCAACTTCCTCCTCCTCCTCCGGGCAGAGTCTTCTCCCCAAAGGCTCCGGCCCCTCACCCGCCCTCCGAGTCCTCCCTTTCGAAACCCCAGCGCTTCTTCCCTCCTCCTCCTGCCGCCCATTGTTTCCGCCGCCTCGCCTCCCTCCCCAGGCAACCGTTCCTCAGGTCCCCGCGCTCCCCCCCCCCGCCTCTCCACCCACCTGCACGGCAGGACAGTCCCCGCAAATGGTCAGCGGGGCTCGTTGCCGGTTCTGGATGTGCAGGAACCGCACCATGGCGAACCAGGAGCCGGGATTCACTCCGCCAGCGGGAGCGGAGGGGGTGGGGTGCGCGGTGCGAAGTAACCGGAAAGCGGGCAAGGGCTCACCGGAAGCGGCGCGGCACGGACTGAAGAGGGAGGAACGCCGTTTAAGCTCCGAGGGAGATGGTGCAAGGAAGGCGCATGCGCCTTCCGAGTAGGGGTCCTCCCCTCCTTTGGATGAATGGTGGAAGGGGGAGAGCTGTCTCCCACCACTAGGGAGCAAAGTAGATTGTAGAGTAATGGATGCAGGGCGCTAGGAGTAGCCATTGCGTCCCTTTCTTGGGCCACGAATTTATAAATACAGTCGTTTGGGCGCTAGACCTTGCTTAGCACACATTTTCCTCTTAAATTTTCTTTCTTTTTCTCTCGAGTTTAATATTGAAATGGCAAATTTAGTCCAGGCAACGACCTAAATTCTGATGAATTAAACCAGAATATAGATTCAGTTAGGTAGCTGTGTTGGTCTGACGCAGTCAAAATAAATAAGAAAAATTTAAAAATTGTCCAAAAAATTGGTCTCTAAGGGGCTACTGGACAATTTTTAAATTTTTCTTATTAAACCAGAATATGCTTGAGGGCTCCTATAAGGTTGCTTTCATTTTTTCATTTTTGAAAATACATTTTTCTAAGCTTTAAGTTGGCCTTGTTTCTTTCTGCAAGCCACCTTGAGTCCTGTGAAAGAAATAGGTGGGGTACTAATAATAGCAATAATAATTGGCTTTTTTCCCCAGCCAGAACTCACTTCTCAGGTGGGCACCATTGCCATTCTAGGAGAACAAGGGAGGCGTTCCTGGCAAGTTCCAGCATCTCTTTTTCTAGGAAAAAATAGCACCGATAACAACAGCACTTTCATTCATAAACTAATCTGGGCTGTACAAGGACAAGGACATAAATGTCGTATGCAAGGTGATTCATATCAATGCCTTGTTTGTTAACAGCCCCTACCCATGAGGTAATTTTATATATAGAAATACTAGTCACACAAACTGTTTTGCCACAGATTACCAGAATGAAGTAAGCCTATACTTGCAACAAAATAAAAATAACTGCTCCAAAGTTTGGATGCCAATATGATTGCTGCTTGGCTGGCCTGTAGTCCAACCACGATCAGAACTTTGATGTTAAATAACAAGCATTTAATTTGCTCAGTCTAGGAGAGCTTAATCTATGTTTATTCAGAACTCCCATTCTAATCAGCTCACTTAGCGGCTGAGGTAAGTTAACCAGAGCTTTAAATTTAGAGAAGTGGTAAGGACCCTCCAGTCCACAGGCCTAATTAAGTCCATGAGAAGTCCTAATGTGATCCATGAAGCTGGTTTCCTCAAGCCATGTGACATCAGGTATGGGGCAGGTAGTGATGCAACTGCAAAGATACAGTTATTAGCTAAAAGTGTCTTAAGAATGAGGTTGAAAGTGTTGAGATTGTGTATTTCAGCTTTTAAAAAGCTTACGATAAAGTACCTCACTAAGTAAGTTTAGCAGTCACACAATATTAGAAGAGGTATTCCTGTCGGTCAGAAACCAGTTAAGAAACAGAGTAGGAAAAAATGGACAGTTCTCCCAAATGGAGGGCTATAGAAAGTGGAGTCCCTCAAGGATTGACACTGGGACTCGTGCTTTTTAACTTGTTCATAAATGATGTAGCATTCATGGTGAGCAAAGTTTGCTAATGATACAAAATTATTCAAGGTGGCTAAAATAAAAAGGGATTGTGAGGAACTTCAAAAGAATCTCTCCAAATGGAGTGAATGGGCAGAATAATCCCAAATGCAATTCAACATAAGCAAGTGTAAAGTATGTTTGGAATACTATGTACAGTTCTGGCCACCTTAGGAAAGATATTTTAGACCTAGAAAAGGTTTGGGGAAAAGCAACCCAAAATTATTCCTGTTTTAGAAAAGTATGGACACAACATGTGAAACTGATTTTTCTATTTTGACGACTGGACAGATGGAAGACCTACTGCAATTCTTACTCTCTCCCCCCTCATGTATACAGAAATAATTGACTATGATCTTGCACATAAATCTTCTCTGGCCTCATAAGCTTGTAGATATGTGGTCCAGTTCTAACAATTATTCATAAGGTTGTTTAGGTTAAAACCACGGCTGCTAAAATTGCACACATTTGTATTAATAAAACTGTATTGCATCAGGTTTCTATAACAAACTTGTTTCTGTTAGTTTGCTGCTGGTGGCAACAGTTATTTGTAATTATTATTATTATTATTATTATTATTATTATTATTATTATTAGTCTCTGGCTGAAATAATATTTATTCACTGTTTCTCCATTTCCCATGACAGCTAGCACAGTACTACAGAGCTCATCAAACAACAAAATAAGGCTCTCTTTTCCTATATGCCATGCCCCATTATTCTAGGAATCTTTAACTTTTTTGATTAATGTGCACTCTTAGTGTGAAAAGTTAATAAAAAAAGCTTCCTTCTTTTAAAGTCCTGTTTAAACACATGCACATATGCTGCACACCAATAAACAGTTATTCCACTTTCACCACCCATAGCAAGGCTATCCCTCCAATATATGGTACCATGCTATAGCGTTAGCAATGTTAAATCAGAGCTTGCATGAGCAGGGAAGACTGGTGTTGGTTTTTTCCTCATTTGTGAAGCAAGTTACAAAGCAACATATTAGAAAAGAAGAAGCTTAACTCATGGCATAGTTTGCTTTCCACCAGCTCTACTTTATACCATGCTTCTGCATGCTGTTACAATTTCCATTTTGTCCCATAAAACATTCACAGATTACACACATCAGAGTAAGTTTTTTAACCATGGAAAGTTTTATGTAAAACCTGAATACTCCACACAACAATGTAATTTACACCAGACTTTACATAGGATGTTGGATGAGATTTTGTAGGAGAGGGGTGCCTTGCACATACAGTTCACTGCACAAATACTGACAAAAGAGTATTTACGAGAAACAGCAAAGCAAGTAATAGTCTGTCATAAATAAGGTGATCAGATATTCTTGGTCTTGTGTGATCCCATAAGCTGAGGAAGTTCTTTCCACCTTAGCCATCCTTTTGGTGGAGAGCGCCATAGTTTCCCTACCCTTTTTGTTAGGCATACACTTAATGTTTCAGTAAGTGTAAGAGCACTGTTGTGGTTTTTTTTTTCTTTCTTCATTAAGAAATATACAATTCACTCCTTTCCCACCCATGCCTTTGGCTCCCCTGAAATAGAACCTAGTTTCTTCCTATAAGCAGATTCTCACTACAGCATATTAGGGGAAGATAAACTGTCAATTCATAACTCAGGTGCCCTTGCTAGGGTGTGTGTAAAACCAACAAATTCTGAAGGCTCCATATGGATTGAAAAGGTCCCTGGAGGAACAAGACATCCTTGGTCACCTTACTCATAACTAGTTGTGTTTTAATGCGTGGATACATAACATTGTTTTGAGCTCAGTAGTGCTGAAGTTACAAGCACAAGTAGTTCTATTCAAATACTGAGTTGGTGAACAGTTCTATTTAAAACACAACTATTCTGAAGGGATGAAGCAAGCAGAAACAAAATTTCTGTACTTGGAACTCACAAATTCCTAGAAGTTTCATTTTGGGTGTGCATTTGAATTGTACAGTCTCCACTTTTCCACAGCCAGAGGTGATCCAATACACACAACCAGTTTAGGAATTAATCCTAGATCCTTGTGAAAACCTTCAATTGCAGAGACCATTAAAGACCATGTTTGCCAGCCGTGGTCTGTTCCTGCTTCCACAACAGCTGGCAAATAAGCTTCAAAGGTGATCAATGTAACAGAAGCCATTCCAACTAGAGATACTTCATAAGGGATTATTAGAGGATAATTTACACACCTATTCCCTGTTACATTTTTCTTTCAATTTGGCTTAGCTTCTGTCTGTTTTTAACATGGAGGTGGCCGCCCATGACGCAAAATATGTTTTTCTAAACTATCTAAGATTGAGATAGCGATTCGCTGAACATCTGGATCAGTCTGGCTGTTTTCCTTGATGTTAAACAAGTGGTGCAAGCCGCCTTCTTCAATCAGCATACTGCAGTACCTGGCAGCTAAAACAACAACAAAGAAGAGGGAAACAAATTCAGTTAGGTCAAGAATTTAGATATTTACTTCCCATCACTTTTCGCACAACTCTTACAATTTAAGTTCTGGTTATAAGTGCAAAGGGATTGCAATTTTGCAAACTATAGGAACAGCAAGTGTTCCCCAGTCCTCCTCCATGCTTTTCTTATTGAAGGGATAGCAGTTGCAAAGCCACCATTAAGGATGTCCTCACGTGGCATTCGCAGGTGCTGATTACATGCTTCAGGAATGGAAACTGTCTCTTCCACATGCTCAGACTCAGGAGGGTGGTGTAGAAGAGAGAGAACAATAACTAAGAATCCAATCCAAAAGAGGCCAAGGGACAGCTTAATTCTCCCACATGCCTGCAATCCCACCTCCATGGATTTAGAGAGGTGATGAACAGAACTTCTAAACTCCTTCCAACCTGATTTAGCTCCTTGCTCTTCCAAGCCCATCTTCCTACATCACAGAACCTTCTCATTTCTCCCAGTCTAAGCCTCCCCACTCTTTAAAGCTGGCACCACACCCCTGCTGTACCCGCAGTGGCTTCTTGACTGCCATTCAAGGACTAGCTTTCTATTTCTTTTGTATGGATCCCTGTAGTATTTCTCTAAGGAGGTAAGATGAATACATTTTTGTCCTATCCTGGGGGGTGACCAAGTGAGCAGTTAGTGCTAGCCCTTTTTTCATTTCTGAACAAGTGCTCACTTCCAAGTGATCCAATTTATCAATGCATTTATCATTGGTTCCCTCGCTGCAAGAAGTGAGGTTACAGGGAACCAGGCAGAGGGCCTTCTCGGTAGTGGCCCCTGCCCTGTGGAACGCCCTCCCAGCAGATGTCAAGGCAATAAACAACTATTTTACTTTTAAAAGACAACTGAAGGCGGCCCTTTTTAGGGAGGTTTTTAATGTCTGATGCTGTATTGTTTTTAATATTCAGTTGGAAGCCGCCCAGAGTGGCTGGGGGAACCCAGCCAGATGAGCAGGGCTTAAATAATAAATTATTTATATTATTTATTATTATTATTAT